TTTCATAAGCAGTGTAGAAATATCTTCTCAAGAAAAATAAAACCTGTGATAAGTGTTTCTAACCAAGCCTGAAGAGACCCAGGAAGCATTGTGAATCCAACACAGAGTAAAATACCTTAACCAGACCAAATATCCCATAACTTAGTAATATGTCATTCCAAATTATTTTTATAACATGTAAAAATATTGCAGAAAATTTTGACCAGAAAAGTTTGGTGCAATTCCACTAAGCTGCAGCTAAATTTTTACTAAAATTATTAGCGTTTGTCCCTGAATACTCCAACTTTTTGTATCATAACACTGTAAATTATATATTGGTAATAAGAACATTTTATTAAAAAATCAAACAATTATGATATTCACAGAAGAGCTACAGTGTTTTTAAATCCATTGTCTTTACTTTTTTTTAATTCTTACACATTTATTTCTGGGTTATTAAAAGAATGATCATTTTATTTTAATCAAACACTTTATTCAAAAGTCACAGCTAATGAGTGTCAAATAATGGTGACAGAAATGAAAGATGCATTAAAAACATCATTTGTAGCTGGAAGAATTTACTCCAGAGAGCCCTTAATTTCAGATCCACTGAAATATCTCTGGCTATTAATGTGGCTTCTGAGTACCTTTATTTTCATGCTTGGGCCACTTAACTTTTATGTTATGAATCACAGGGCTACACCATGAAACACAAGTTGCTGTCAAAAGTTCCCCAAGTATAAAAACAAAAAACTTTTTTCCATATTTCATGCCTCACCAAATTATTGAGTACATACTTTGTTAATTTACTCTTTTAAGTGAAGTAAAAGTCATTTAATCATGATTATAGGCTCATTTGCTAAAAACCCCTTTTACTAAGCAGGAGCATGGAATACAAGGAAGGAATTAACAGAAAAACCTCTTTTTATAGCTTTCTTTTCCTTAACTGTAAACTGTTCATACTCATCCTAGTTTTGCACAATGCACAGAACCTGCACAGGATTAAATAGAAGGACAAAATTAAAGAGAAGATGAGGGTCAGGTCAGAGGTACTGATAACGACAGTTCTAAGCAGTGTGAACATTAACATCTGTGTTTTTCTGCTTTGAATTGGCTATCAGAAGGGGGGAAAGAGCAAATCTATTACAGTGTGACTAGATTCCAGTGTTTACAATGAACTGTTAATAAAATATTATGAAGCATTACATATCTCAAGTAATGACACTGTTTCTTGTAATTCAGAAACCAGTTAACATAAGTGGTAAACATCAGTGGCCCTTGCCCACAGACCAAGCAGATTCAATCTGAAGTAGCTGATTGTGAATGAGTGGTCATGAAGTCAAAATCTCTATGAGACACAGAGAGGATGTGTTGGAAAGGTCCAACCAAAAATTTAAAGGTGTCATACTGTTCTAATTCTCGCACTACTGTAAGGAAGACACATAGGAGTCCTTATTATCCTGGGTTCCATTTCTAATAAATATAAATTCTGATTTAAATTGAGCCAAATAAAACAGAAAAGACCCTTTGAATACATTGCTGTGTCTCACTTCCCATCCTTTACTAGGCCTATTGCCTAATTAGGATTAGTTCCTGATGAAATGCACTACATTCCCACTAAAATGTAGGCTTGAAAGGCATAAATAGGCGATTATAATAAATAAAATAAGATTGCTGTAAAAAATAAAACAGAAAATTATAGTAGATGAAGGTAAAAAGACTGGAGTACAAAATAAACACATGTAAATTTATTGATTTGAGTCTATATGACTTATTTTATTTAAATATTGGCTAGTGTTTATACTAATCAACTTGAACTTTTTGTATTTGTTAAATTTTCATAAAAATATTACCAAATATGCATCTTAATTTTAGGGAGTCACATAATTTCTCAGTGAAATTACTAGTTCAGCAAGACTCTGTTAGCCAGTAGTTTGCAGAATATGTGGGCTTTTTAAGCTTTGGCACTGAATTCACAGTTCCCATTGTTAAGTGTCAAAAGAAAACATCTTTAAAGAACTATCATGTTGGTGAATCAATTAGCGTGAATTTTATTTTTAAAATTTGCCTTGTCCCCATTTCTACTACTCAAATTTAGAGAGAACTCAGTGTGCTGATATTTTGTTTGTGATCTAGCAAATAAAGCTGAAGATCAGAGTGTAGATATAAAGTCCTAGTTAGCCATAGAGGCTAGTCAGTGATGGCACACACCTTTAATACTCGGTGGGCAGAGGCAGACAGATCTCTGTGAGTTCAAGGATACCCTGGGCTACACTAGATTGATCCAGTCTCAAAAGAGATACAGAATTCACACCTTTGATCTGAGCATTTTGGATCACACACCTTTAATCCAGCACTAGGGAGGTAGAGACAGGAGTGATATGGCTGAACAAAGAGAGTTATATAAGGGTTGTGGGCTTTTTCTGGATGCCCTTTTCAGGCTGCTGCCAAACTAGGTAGCTACTGTTCTAAGCAGCAGCAGCAGTCAGACACATATATTCATATTCCTGGTTGGCAGATTTGGAAAGACAATTGGGAATACTTAAAGGGAGAAATTAGTTAAAAAGTGTTTCTCCCAAGTTAAAAAATGGGTAAAAAATTACAATAGAGAAAATTAGGTCACTGTATGATTACTCAATGCACTTTTTAAAATTGGAACAATTAAATGAAAAGACAATCAACTTAATTGGGATTGGCATAATGTTAAATATAATCTTGATGATTCTTGGTTTATCTCTAAAAATGTTGGTTGATATGAGTGCCAAGATGCAGGTCTTAGAAAATGTTATTAAAACATATCATAGAGATATTCAAACCCAGACAGAGGAATTTAATGGAGAACCAATTTCAGCATTGCATTATAAGTTTAGAGAGGAACAGCCTAAGGTTTTCAAACAACCAACTTTAATTCATCTAGTCCCTTTATAGGAATAACTGTCAAATGTTAGATATACCTAAGGCTGTGCATGAGTTACATTGACTACTGTAGAAATGTTAGATTTAAGGAGACTGAAGGACGTGATAGTGTCCTATGGCATGCATTCATCTTTGTGAAGCAGATGTTAAACTCATGGTTAACTTGTAACAGAATTATCCCTAGAGACTGGAGAAATTTGGTTACAGCAATCATGGAGCCTGGACTTCAATTAATTGGAAGATCTGGTGGGAATATGAGACTAAAACCATTGAACTACAAAGTACGGCTAGAGGTATAGAAATTTCCCAAGACCAACTTCTTGGAGAAGGAGAATATGCTAATGTAGAAAGGCAATCTCTATTTCATGGCCACACCCTGATGTTATGCCACACAGCAACTTTGAATGCTTGGAAGACAATTGGTAAAGTAGGGAAGAAAACTGAGTTATTTACAAAAGTTATATAGTGCCCAAAAGAAACCCCCACTGATTTCTTGCAAAGATTGACTTCAGCAGTAAATAGAATGATACTAAATTCAGAAGCTGGATAAATAATAATCGAATCTCTGGCTTTTGAAAATTCTAATTCTCAATGCAAAATGATAATTAGGCTTATAAAGTCAAGATCTGCACCTTTGGAGGCATGGAACCAAGGTACAATAAATATTGAATGTCCTGACCATGATGCTGCTTAGATAGGACAGGTAATTTCCAGAGGTTTGAAGAAAAATTAAAATGTTAAATGTTTCAATTGTGATAAACAAAAGCCACCTAAAAAGAGATTGTAAACAAGGTATTCTTAGAAACAATGTACTTTCTAAGCAGAATCCATAGAGAATGACCTTCCCTTGTGGATTATGCAGAAGGTGTGGCAAAGGCAGGCATTGGACTAATGAATGTAGATTAACAAGAGACAGTCAAGGTAGCTCTTTAATTTCTGGAAATGACTTGAGGGGCCCCTTACAGGCTCCCATGCCAAATTTAGTACAGTTGATTCTTGTTACTTTAGAAAAAAGGCCTCCCTAGAGCAACTAAAAGATTAGACTTGAATAAGAGAGATCTCATGATTAGAAAACATGATAGTTCATCAAACAGCATGGCTACTCAACCTAAAGTTACATATAAAACTCATTTCATTGCATCAGAAATAACTTGTCATAAAGGAAACTCCCCAAAGTTAGACTTAGGGAGGGTTATTTTCTTTCTTTTCAGGAAAATAAAATAAACTACTTGGAATTTAAAGATTTATGGACAAATAAGCATCCAAAGAAGAAAGGAGAACTACCTGGAAAAAATTACCAAGAAAAGTTATAATCTGACCTAATGCAGTCTCTAAAGTCTCCAAAAAAGATGATGGGATCCCCAAACCAACAATTCCACCAGGACTATGCTAACACCACTAAGCTGAAAAACACCACATAAAGATCAGCTTTGTACTACAAACTTGGGTCAACAATTTCAAGGAGGGTAGCTGCCATGATCCAGTCTCACAGACTACTCTAGTCAGGACTTGAGCCTAGCCCTGCACTTTCCTATTACACAGAGACTGGATAAAAAAAAAATGATACAACTACCTCTCCCAAGAGTTGACAATAAACTCACTTTTTTCTTTTCAGTTTCCTCTAAACTAGCTGTTGTCCATAGGCAACAGGAAATAAATTTAAGAACAGGATTCCCACATTCCCAAGAGATGGAGTGGATGGGTTTTTGTCATTCAGTGGGTTATGGATATTTGTTATCATTTAGGGTGGTTGGTTACGAGTTGTTACTGGTAATGGTCAGGAAAAAAAATTCAACAAAGAGTTTAGATTCAGGGTTCTTGTTTTGAAAAGAAAAACGGGGATATTGATATAAGAGATAAGAGAAAATTATTGCATCTACTCTGAAAGCAGGGGGTATAGAAATAGGATTCAGGGAGCAAATAGAAATTAAAATATGTATAACATTATCTAAAGAACATGGACTAAAATCCATAAGATAAAGATAGAATTTGAAGTTTAAAAAAATTGTCAAACAATGCTGTGATATACAAATTTCCCAGGTCAACTTGTTGAAAACTGATGCAAGACCAAAATCTTACATTTTAATAAAGCAATTATCACTTACTTGAATGCACCTAGTGGAATGGGATGGTCTTTGCTGTTGCAGGAGGGTGATGATCTGGATCCAGGATTCCTCATCCAGGTGCCTACCAGTCAAAGCCTGTTCATAAGTCAAAAACCAGAGGTACTCAATTTAAATCGAAAGTTGTGCAAGATAATACATCAATTGCCTTCTGAATTTGATTTCACAGTTAATGTTTTAAAAGTGCTGCTTTGTCAGCTCCTTCTATTATAGAAAATTCTATTGTATTGCATAGAAATTCCATAGTTATTTCTTTTTCTTTTTCTAAGGATACCTACAATGCAGTCTTTAACATTCGTCTTTTTGTTTACATGATAAATTCTCAGACAAACACACACACTTCCCTCTTGGTTAATTTCATGAACATGTTTACATTTGCACTTTAATTCCAAAAGCATTAATGACATACTTACTTTCTGCCACTCACTACTAAGCGTAATAAAAGATAAAGCAGGCAGATACATAGCTAGACAGGAAGTGATTTATTATCTCTTTGGAGAGGGAGAGGGAGCAGGAGAAGCTTAGCCAGGAATCCAAAGGCAAGCTGAAGAACTTATATGAGAATTAGAAACATTGTGTAAAATATTCCTTGCACATAGTCCAGGCACTAACCAAGTGGCTGATCTCACCATATAATACTTAATATATCTGTTCTGGCTAGTTTTATGTCTACTTGACATAAACTGGAGTCATTTGGGTAGATGGTCTCTTAATTGAGATAATACCTCTGTAAGGGTGGCCTGGAGGAAAGTATGTAGTACAGGTTTAAAAATCAGTGGTTTATATAAGGGACCCAGCTCACTGTGTAAGTTGCCAACCCTGGGCTGGTGATTTTGGTTGTTGTCAGGGAGGCTGAGCAAGCCACAGCAAACAAACAAATAAAGAGCACACGTGTGTGTGTGTGTGTGTGTGTGTGTGTGTGTGTGTGTGTGTGTGTGTGTGTGTGTGTGTGTGTGTGTGTGTTTGTGTGTGTGTGTGTGTGTGTGTGTGTGTCTGCCTCTAGGATTATACCCTGCTTGAGTTCTTGCCTGACTTCTCTCCTGTGATAGACTGTTACCTGGAAGTGTGAGACAAAACAAGTAGTAAGTGTATAGTCGTTAGTTTCTCACTGTTTTCATAATTATTTGTATTAGTTTGACAAATAAAATTTGTATATAAACATAATCCCAGTATGACATTCTGACACATGCACACATTGTGTTATGTTATAATCAAGTTTGTCATTTCTATTTCCTCAACTGTTGATCATTTGTTTGTGACAAAACAGTCAAAATACTTCCTTTTAGCTTGTGAAATCTGTAAATATTTTCCTTATCTACTAACTCCAACTAAATCCACTTCTCCCCTTACAAACTGCCCCGTCTTACCTTCTATTTTGATATACATTCCCTAATCTTTGGTGGCCACTTTCTACTCTCAACTAACTTCATTAATTCAATTTTTAACTTTTAAATTCATTTATTTAATTGTATGTATGAGCATATCTCTCTCTCTCTCTCTCTCTCTCTCTCTCTCTCTCTCTGTGTGTGTGTGTGTGTGTGTGTGTGTGTGTGTGTTTGAGTACATATGTGCGTTTATGTTGGTCAGAGTACAACTATGTAGAGTTATAAAGTTGCTTCTCTTTCCACCATTACATGGGATTCAAGGATCAAAATCAGGTGACCAGGCTTGCACAGCAAGAGCCTTTCCATGCCTACCCATCTCACCAGACTAATATACACTTGATTTTTTGTTTTAATTTTTTTCTTTTTCTTTTTTCTTTTTTTTCCAGGATTGACATATAAAACAAACTTGCTTCTAATTTAAATTTAAAAAAGAAGCCTAAAAAATAATCTATTTGCTTTAATTCCACATGTGAATTAGATTGAGTAATATATGTGTTTTTGTATTTGGTTTTCACTTACGATAAAATATTTTGGCTTCATTCATGTTGTTTCATACAGCATTTATTGACTCATTTCAGGAGCTCTGAAAATTGCAGACTTCCAGGTACTTAGACAAGAATCCTTCTCCCACACTCACTTCCTCTCTCCTTAAGACTTCGTCTAGGTATTCTAGGACCTGCGGTTAGAGTCTCCCATCTGTAATGGTGGGTCTCCATGGACAGTTCCGTGAGCTCTGAAGAGACACAATTCCTATGCCATTCTCTTGTCTCTCCAGAGAGCTTTCCTGCTGGTTCTAAAATGGGTTCATCCAGGAGGATGTGGCATATATATGCTAAACATAGTATAGCAGGCTATTTGAGTGGGGAAGGCAAAAGTTATCACATTGATAACCTGAGTCAGCAGGTCTGTCACTACATTGGTGTACAGAATTTGTACACTAAATGTTAGTGTATGTCCATTGGGATACAACCTTCCTACAGAGCAGAGACTCCAGATTCTAACTAGAGACATAGCAGCTACAAACATAGGATTGAGATAAATGCTGGAAAATATGGATGCTTTGCCTTGATTGTTTTCTATTCCTTAAGCACAGACTATGGGTTTCCTAGATCTCAGAGAATTTGCATCATTTTAAACTGACTTATATATTAAAAAGGAAAAACTTTTGTTTGTATATCAGACCCTCCTGCCTGATGGACAATGCATTTAATTGTTTTCTATTTTGTTTTTAAACTTGTACCATTTGTGTATTTGCTGAGGAAAGATTAAAGCAACTTTTAATTTTAATATTTAATTCTGATGATGGGCTGTCTGATGTAAGCATATTGATATGCAAGTTTTGGGCTTCCTATACACAGAACACTAAATACATATCTGTCCAACATAACAGAGCATACCATATTTGTAGCTTAAGAGGTTTTCTTGGAGGTTAATACAATACTATCAAAAACATTTTTGTAATTTTATGCTTTTATTAGATTATAAGTTATGAATGTCTTTTATTAAGCAATCTTATTCATGCCACTTCACCAATAAAGAACTAATAAAAGCTCTTGGTTATTAATCTCATAAATTTCATTTTCAGCTTGACATTTACAAGAAGGCTGCCATGAGCTATATATTCCGAATCTATATAATTGGGTGTGGAGCTGAGGTTCTCTGATAATCTGTAATATCTTCCAGGGCAAAGCTATTGACTTGATTAACCATGTTCCCACATCCTACAGCTATACATACATGTAGAATGTGCACAATAAGCAGTGTGTGGCATACATGACTCAAACCTTCTGCTTCCAAAGTCTTTTCTATCTAAGACATGCCACACATATTTAGAAAAACAAGTTTTACCATCTTCATGTGTATTACTTTGCTGTCTTAGCTTTCAGATACTTGCCCGGATTTTCCAAAACTGAGTATCTACTCTGTGAAACCTATTGTAGCATAGGCATTTATCTTCTTCATGATTATTTCAATGCTATATTAAGCTTGAAAAAAATTTGACCAGATCTGTGGTTCTGTTATAAGCATTCGGTATTTTTTTTCACTGCTCACTATGGCTGCATATAATACAGATTCCTTCAGCTCTGCAGGGTACTCTTGAAACCTACAGCATCAGCTATACAGGAGAACTTGCAAGAACCACAGATATTATCCTGATTGCAAACTAAAGTCCCTGGAAACAGGCCTCATTAAACTGTACTTTCTCCAGGACTTCAAGTAACTGTAACATACATCAAGCATTGCAAGACTCTTGATTAGATGGGTACAATAACACCCCTCACCACCTGGCCATAATACCATGGTGTGACTATCACAGCATTTGAGTAATTAAAAGATATTAATTACATCTCACTTTCTCTGAAATGTGCTATCTTGTATCTACTGTGAACGAATGGCAAGGGGAGGAAGCGTTGAACTGTGAGGCTGTAACAGAATTTCCACTGAGTGCTGAAAACAGCCACCACCAAGTCACCAAGTGCCAAAGTGTAAATCCAGCCCCCAAATAGATCAAAAAGTCACAGAAATTAAGCAGATAAGCTACAATTTTCATAGGACTCACAGTCAAAACCAACTTTGTTCAATAATTCTCAGCAGGAAACATGAAAAAGTGGCAAAGCAACCCAGTGTAGAATACAGGTAATCAAGCCTTTACTCTAACGTAAAGATAGGACCTGCCATGACACTATGATGGTAAAAATAAATCATAATTGCCACCAAGTCTGTGAAGTAGTAGCTAAAATCAGAAAAAAATAACATTTTAATTAAGGTATATAATACACAGTTTTAACAAAATAATGTATTCATACTTGTCAGGCCCCTTATTTATTTTTCTCAAAAGCATAGACTAGAACCAACAATGATGACTACAAGCTAAAAGGACTATAACTTATCAAATAATGGCAAATAATTAATAACAAGCAGAAACAATAAAGGTATTTCTTCTCGAGTATATTGTCTTAAGGAATTGTACGTGATTAGATAGATGATGCTGAGGATTGATAGATAGGTAAATAGATGCTAGGTAGATAACAATTACTATGTATAATTAAATGATAATTGCTAGATTTATAGATAAATATATAATTGCCACATGGATGACTACCAGGTAATTGATAAGTGATAAGTGGTAGATAAAACAATAGATGGTGGGTAGTTGATAGATGTATAATCCATTGTTTGATAAAGATAGATGACTGACAGATTATTGATACATCATCAGTTGTAGATAAATATAGATTATAATACATGGGTAGATGGATAGACAAGGGAGAGAGAAAGTTTTGATCCTGGAATTTGTACTAAAAGTCATGGTCTCCCTTCCACATTCAAGCAGAGGACTCCACCACTGAGTAGCACTTCTAACTCTCAAGACATATGATTCCAAATCATATATACTTATCAGCTGTATCAGGAAACACAGAATAAATTATTTCATCTATTGAAGATTTTCTACTTACAGGATAAAAGAAATATGCCAATCAATAAGAATAAACTACTTATGATAGCCTTTTAAAGTTCACATATTTCCCTGACATAAAAATCATTGTTTCCACACCATAGTCTATGCATTTCTCCTTTGAAAAGTACCACAAGCTTTCTACACATTTAATATATACTAATTATTTTATTAAACCTGATACTTTTAAAATTTTGCAACAAGTCTAGGAAAAGCACAATAAGTGCTCAAACCTG